CAGTCATGGGACTAGATGGTGAGCATCATGATCCCAAGTTAAAGTATCCAAGCAAATGCATCCTTGTTATGCAGATGATTATAACAAACCTTACCGCACCGTAGATTAATTTATGAGCCTGAGCATGGAGCAATATATGCCCGCATGCGACCCTGTGGTTCGTCGGTTATTCCATATGTAGCCATATTTACGCTTGAGCCAAACAATGTCATCCAGGAACTGCTCATCAAAATTAATTAGTAAGATTGTATGTGCACATAAAAATTTGTTTTCTGCTGTTTTACCGCTATTACCCATGCTATAGTCCTTCTTTATCATTTCGAAGCGTGTGTGGCACTACTGAAACTCACCCATCTGAGTGCGCAAAACGCATCTTTGACTTGGCACTGATGTAAGTCCCCTAGCATATGGCCAACCTATTTTGGCGTTCGGTTCATTCCAGTTACATAAAATGACTTTGTTGACAATCTCAGATCAGACAACTGAACGGCATGTTTATCGCTTAAATTGACGCTTGCCTTTAACTGTGGGTGCGTTTCCAAAGTGGTTAGCGTTCTGATCCTAAATGGAAGCCGGCTGGAAACTTGTTTCTGGGAGTCCTTTTTACAAACAAGAGCGAGGCAAATTTCAGTGAAATTGTGCGAATAAAAGACACGGAGATGTCTATCATAAAAGAAGTGCAAAATAGAAGGTTGTCAATTAGCAATATAATATCAAGCACTGTTTGTACGGATAGGAAGATGGTAGGCGGAACGATAGAATATTATTGGTCAAGCAAACAAAGCTAGGAAGTGAACTAAATGTGCTACCGAAAAAGGCGATAAAGTAGAGTGCGAAGGAGAGTGAACTATAAGAGGACAGTAAGATGTGTGCATACATGATACCCCCTGCGGCTAGTTTCCAGGACTCCCTATGGTTCTAGTGGATGTCCGAAAGACATGAAAATGGTACCACTTTGGAACCCATTCCTTGATGCGAGCCATCGATATTGCTACGTCACCTGTGGAGTTCACGAATTCCGATTCCACTGGGTAAAATGCAATAAGAGCCAATTGGCTCAAAACTCACTCCAAGTTTTCAGGTGATAATAGCGATAAATACATGAAGCGATTCATTACACTTAGTGTAGATCCCGGACGAGCAAACGGTTTTGCGTCTTTTGAATAAGTGTGAACCACCAGGAATACTTTTCTGAAGCTGTTAAAGCTACCTACGCACATACAATTTTCGCCAATGCAGACCTGTCAGCTCGGTGCGAGCAACTCACAGATAATAGTAATACCTGTTTCGACCTGCGCTACCCATTGAGATCATCTATCTACAAACTGAAAAATTTTCATCTCCACTACTCAACCACTGCCACTGCGGAAGTAGTGTGCAAACGGCTAACTGGGAGAACAAATACGTTTGTACTGAACTTTTATGAGTTCGCGCGAAAGGTAGCAGGTCTGTCTATCGCGTCAGACGAAATAATGATTAGTTTCGACGTTAATTCCCTGTTCACTAACGTGCCCAAAGATGACGCATTGGGGATAGCACCGTGCTATCTGACTAGGGACAATAGTCTGGGGGGTGAGAGCGAACGAAACTCACGGCAGACGAGATAATAGAAGGAATTAAAGTATGCCTTAATGTCATATTTCACGTTCCAGTCGAGACTGTACTCTCAGGAGCAGGGACTCGCCATGGAATCATCAATATCCCCCATATTGGCACATCTGTATATGGAAGAGTTTGAGAGGAGGGCGCTGACAAACTCCAGTAGTTCGCCAAAGATTTTGTGGCACTACGTATAGGATACATTTGTGATCATAAAGCGGGATATGAAGGATGAGTTTCTAAACCATCTGAACTCTATTGATGGGAACAAAATTTACTACGGAACTAGAATCTTGCAATGGCACACTGTCATTCTTTGATTGCCTAATTCGTAGTAACTTTGGATGATTAAAGACGACGATATGTCGTAAACCGACAAATACAGACGGAGTACTGCATTAAAGTTCGGGTCATCTAAAACAAGTCTATGCTGCTGTCGCATTCTCTCTCACAGAGCCCAGACTCTGTGTACAGAGGACAGGAAAGCCGCTCCTAAGGCGACCGTGAGCAAAGTAATAGACAGTGGACATTCGAGGCGGTTAGTGAAACGCCAGTTGCAGTGAGCTCTAAATCCACTTCCGCGGTGATCTTTGGAGGCTCTTGAAGTAACTCCGACAAAACTTCCAGTAGCCCATTCAATACTGTGGATGTGGACAAGTTCAATGTAGTGTACGACACCTCATCTTCGGACACATTCCCTTACCTTTTTTCCTCACCAGTGATCTCCCCATTTCACAAGACTGAAACCAAACAAAGCTAGTGGCCCAGATGCCCTGTCATCAACCATGGAAAGTGTGCAGATGCATTACGCACACTTCTGATAAAAAGTTTTAACCGCTAATTGACGACTGGTACCGTCCCGGACATCTGGAAAGCAGCCAGAATAACACCAGTGCCAAAGTAGGGATCACAGAAGTATTGGCCGATGGCGTGCACATCTGTGAAGGTGCCTGGAAAACTACTGACCCACGCATTTTCATAAGTGATCACACAGATGGTATCAAACAGTTTGCCTAGAAGCCAGGACACTCTACACCGGATGTCGGTTCGTATCTTGTGCATTTCATTGCAACTGATTTGGATACAAATAGTAAAACCACATGGTCCCTGTTGCTTGATTGTACCAATGCCTATGTGAGCCACGACAAATCGTTACTACCAGACTATTTGTTGGAAAACGGCGTTCGCCGTATGCAGTGTAACGCATAACTACTTTCAAAGTGCACACACATCACGAAGCTGTGTGGCATATGGTCTTCTGCAATCTAAGCCAATCGTGGTGTTTTACAAGGAGCTATTTTACCCCCTTTTCTGTTTTTTATCTGCCCATTCCATACAGTTTCATTGGACGTAGGTACGCTGACGACCTCGTCGTATGATGTATAGTCCCAGTAATTAGGGGATTGTCAAAACTCCAACGAAGAGTAGACGAACTCCTGACTTGGTCAGGCCTCCCTGTCCCTCTTCCTTAACTCTTCCCAATGTTGTGGTGTCACATTCTCTTTTCGTCAACCCCACAGACTGCGCTCCCTTTTAGCTACCTCTTCTTTGATCGTGAGTGACCAAAGCATCGCCCGTTTATCCACCCGAAAGTATCGGTGTTTTTTTAGCTTACAAATTATTCTGGTCGACACATACTGGAAACTTTCCAAGAAGTCAGAAGACTATCTTTTTATGCTCCCAGGCTCAAATCGCTCTTCCTACCGCGTGCTCTAATTCTAAGGTTGGTAAGCGCATGCATTCACCCCCCATTGGTTAGTATTTTCCAAGAGCCACTTCAAAAGAATCGTACTCTACTTAACGCTCACTAAAATTTATTTCCCGATGCTCTGGATTAAGTAGATAATCCCTCGTTGCTTTTATCGTTAGCAAGCATTTTGATACATGTCATAACTTTCTATCCGGGATTCTAAACGACCGCTCCCACTCCTACACACTTTTCTAGCCAGTACAGTATCTATTTCTTCCATGCGATGGAAATTTAAGGTTTTCTTTTCTCGTTCCTAGTCGCATCGTAACTCCATCTTGCCCTATATGTTTCGCTTGTTAGACAACCCAAATGCAATGATGCATCAAGTGTGAGACCGGTTTGTTTGATTTTAAATGCAAGTTTGTATTTTCCTCGTCACTTTGAATTTTCTTCTACTGATGCTATTCTGTGGTGTAGCCGCAGTTTTAGTGTAAATCGCTGAAAATGCTCCGACACGGGTGTATACAAGTTATCTTCACTTGAATTGACTTGTATGCTTGTACTCAGCTTTGAAATTGAGGCCATGCTGGCTAAAAGAAGCCCATTCGTTGAACATCTCTTAGGTAGCGAATATGCCCTGTTGATCACCCCAGACGGTCCAGTGACCCTCGGAACAAGCTGGTTGTCTCAGCTCGGTGTGATAAAGAAATGGTGGGGGCGCTAGCATAAGTAAAAACACATTCTCATTGGAGAATAAACGCAGTGATCGGCATATAAGACTATTTTGAACAGCTTTTTCACGAATCAGTAACGGAAGTCTGGCTGCTTGCTACACTTTGAGCCCCCATGTAGGTTTAGATTGCGACCAGTTACACAAGGCTCCGTTTTCTGAGAGTTGCAACTTTTCATCGAGGAATTGCGCATGACGCCCACTCGGCCTGTGAGTTCGCGCCCAAACACTATCACTCTGATCGATATGGAATTGATGTGGACTAAGTCAGGATTTCGATGAAATCTCCATCCATCAGATTCACAATCCGTGAGTATAGTTGGATCCAAAGTAGCGACGACGATTCTCGGCTTCTGCGATATTGTTCGGCTAAATTCCTCAAAAGCAAACCCCGAGAACTCCCGTTTCCGCTGAGCACCGTCGGTTTGGCATACATTTCCCGGAGCATCACCTACCATGGATGTACATTTTGGTATCAATCAGTGGGTGATAGCCAACTCTGCAATCAGACCATCCAGCACCTAACTTTCGTAGCAATCCGAAAAAGAGCCTTCTGCTCCACAATGGTCTCACTTGTCTAACGATCATCATTCGGAATTTGATCAAGAAACATGAAAATGAGCCGAAAGTTCAAAACCAACACTGATGACGACCGTCCGGCCTCCGGCCCCCACCTTCGGCATGCACACCGATTTTAACTCACCAAGACGACCTGCACCACTTTAAAACATGCATGCTGTTTGGAAAGTGCTCACATACTTGTGTTGACAATCCTGATACTGTCTTTGGGCATATTGTGTAATATTCCCTGGACAATAACCAAATCAACACGCATGTGAGTACCGTAAACGTTCGTGAGAATTTTGTTTATGCCCAATGAAGCGTGCCTCGTTAATTACGATAACACACATATTTATTTAAAAGCCTTTATAGATATCTGCGCGACAACTAACACTCTGTGTGCGATTCTTCCTTTTATAGAACATCGGCTTTCCACCGTACTTGGGTGCGCTTACCAACGGAGCACATGGGGTTCCACATCCCTTACCTATTCCAGTAGGAACTGACGTTATACCTACAGACGTGAACACTTCCCCCACGAAACGTGATGTGTTGGCAGAGGGAAAAACTACACTTCCTCTTTATCTCCCCCGAACGAACGGAACAATGGCCAATGGTGCGTTCGGCAGAAAACTTGGCAACCACGAAACCTCTGGAAGTTGTGTGATGGTGGTAAATGGAAATTCGGTGGACTCGATGAAAGAATTGAATGGGACATCTAATTCAACCAGCATGCGGTGCGCGACCGGAGGCACATTGACCGGTGCGGCAACGCTATTCGCGTTGCATCATCCGGGGACTTCAGCTCTGTTGAATTTGCCTCCACCACATCAGCCAACCCACACGATAACGCCTCTCGCGACAGCACCGTTGGCTGCTGTCGTAAATGGAGGGAGCGCTTTGGGTCCTAACCATTATCCAACACTGGCTGAACACGCGGGGTATTTTCAGCCAGCATGTACGTTTGATGTCACCATTTTATTGTGTGTATTTCTAGGCTAGATTTACATAAATCAAGAATAGGAGATGGGGTCCTATGAGCCGCGACCCAGCGGCGAGATACGTACCACCGACGAAGCGGCTTAAAATAAGCAACGACAAGAGGCAAATGTAACAAAGCGAAGCGAAGATTAAAGCATACGCACACTCTCTGTCCAGTATGCGAATACTTAGTTGATGAAAATTAGTTCGGACGTATAGTAAGTCGGAAGTCACTCATGGGGGCTTCGTTGTGCACGGAGTGGATCACATTTTTGTCTAGTCATGCAATGCGTAGTTGCCGTTACCTCCATTGTTTCAGCGTCCGCAATGCGGCCGTGCTGGGGCTTAGACCTGCAGTCGATACCTTTTCACATTATTCGTGCCATTAGAGTTGCAGGAGCCGTCTTAGCTAAAACAACGGGGTCGTATAATAGGTAGTACCGTGAACACACAGCGTAACATTGTTCGAAATGAGTAAGTAGCCTGAACAGACAAGCTGTAATGGGCACATGAGCACAGACAACTGCCACTAAGTGGTGCGCTCAGGTAGGAAGAACTCCATACTCAGTTTTGATGCTAGATGCGCACCCATGACAGGAGTCTTGATGTACGTGCACGGAATTTGATCAACACTTTACCGTTGTGTTATGCAATCATTGGTTGAAGACTCAATTCCAGTTAAGAATTAACTTTTTTTTACAATGAGCGGTTGCCATCACAGTCGATACGACACTCTCGAGCATGTGACAAGCTTTATGGCGACAAATGTCTGCTCCCACCTGTATGTCCAACAACAGGACTCACTACCACTTAGGCCGATACCGACTCGATTGTAGCTTCTGAGTGGCGTTCATCCCCAGTCGGTAGTGGCAGTGCAATCTAAATTTAGATTGTCAGCTTATTTACCTAAATGCAAAGGATACCAACGTGATCGCATGTAATCAGCAAATGTGTGGTCACCAAATGGACGTTTTATAGGTGTAGATTCGGTCAACAGCCTACCGTCACGTTGGCATCATGGACAAAAGTACAGTGCGTTGGCGATGTCAGCAAGCCCTACTTAAAGTGCATGAACAGTATGGTGCGTATCACACAATTTTCCTCTCAAATGGAAAACGACATGTAAGGAGATGACAGCCTAAGAGCCAAATATAGCTCGGTTGAAGGATATATCGCTGGTAATTTGCGATGCTCTATGTCCAAAATTTTCAAACCCGCTAACTGTTTCAACCACTGCCATTTTGTCTCTTTTCTTATCCCCTAGATCATATTGAGTTACCGCCTTACCAATACAACTAAGACCATGTGCTGGCGCATAAGCATCACGTGCCGTGATTGTCTGCTGCAGCTGCAGTCGACCTACCCTTCACCTTCGTCTTCATTCGCGAGTGCACAGACTCGTCGAACAAATGAACATTGCAGTTGTCCCGGTACGCCCTCCTTGCCACCGGCTCCACAGACATACACACACACACCGAAACACCTTGCCGGCCTTTGTTTTACTTATTATTTCTGTTCCGTTTCACTCTCACACGATTTGCCTATTTCCCGTACCTGCGGTGTAACGTGATTGGTTATCCGGTTTATTTTACTGTTCAGAGAAGAGCAGTATCCGATACTTATCCGGGGATACACTTGGATTACCATGTCCACACTCAAACCAGGGCAATTCGCAAAGCTTGAAGCACACAATCAAGTGATTGATACCATCGTCGGTAATCGTCTAGTAATCATCCAATTAACCGGTGCACGCGCATCTAGGAAATATGGAGCTTACATGAAGAACCTATCGACAAATTCAACTCTGCTCTTGTTAATTCTTCCAGAGAGAAAGTCGAGAAAAGTGCAGTTATTTTTTCAGGCGCCTAATTTTCGGTTGTCCTACACAGTTTCATACATTCGATCGCGAAAAATAGTATTTTTTCGGATGAAATCTCCTTCACCTCTACCTTCATGTAGTCATTTACCGTTTCCATGCAATTTATCACATTGTCAGAAGTGGTCGATAGCCTAACGAGCTACATAGATGACGGAGACAGGCGTTTTGTTCCCATTTTCAACTTACTCCCAGTGCTCTTTCGTTTCCGCATGCTACATGTTCAGTTTGGACAAAGTGCCCACAGCAGTCGGCATCATACTATCGACTGAAGCCCGTTTCCTTGTTCGGTACATCTGTTGCTGGTATCCAAAGGCGCCAGTGATCAATCCATTTACATTACCGCGCATTTCGCAACAACATCCCAGATTTTCTTGAGCTATCAATCCACAAAACCAACCATTCTTTTTCATACAACTGACGTTGCATAAGATCTGTCGTGGATGTGTTAGTTCGTTCCGCAATCCCCATCATTACTTCCCACTGAGTTTTTAAATCCGCTCCTCCCGATTCGAAGAAGACAGCAACTCGTAAAAAGCACTCCTCATCCTTTACCGACGGAAATTAGCCAATCTTTCCCTTTATTTTTCTTTTTGTTTACCAAATAAAATTTTGTACTAAACGAGAAAAGGGACAATTTCGCTGAAAGTTCCGACTTGTATCACTTATATTCATACAAGTACATCAACAGATTATGTCGAGCATCCGTAAGTAGCTTGATGGACGTCAAACGCGCATTGTGCTTCTCAAATCAATGTTATAAATCGTGTTGCAATGCTAGAGAACAAGCTACAACTATCATGCGTCCACGATAGAAGAGCGTAGCCCCTCACTGCATAGCCTGCACAGAATGCCACGGGCATTTATGAGTACGGTGATGGGTGCAATATAGCACAAATGTGGTTAGAGCACGAGAGTTGCTATAGACGGGACATTTCAACTGTGACGGCAGTAACTGTGGATGTCGAAGGGATAAGTGCATTTCTGGATGTTACGCAAGACACAAAATCCGACGCACTCAAGTAACCACGTCCCACGGTTGATGTTAGCTGTGCGTTGCGGTGTTAAATGATCTTAGTTTGGCGCCATAATTACCGCTGGCTGCGAGGGATTACACTAGTAAAACGTAGTTTGACTAGGTTATCGATAAAGCATATGCAGGAAAGAACGCTCCGGGTATCTGTTCACGGCCTTGGAGTTACGTCAGCATGCATGCTCAATGATAAGTTTGGAGTGATCCCGTACAAGCAACTAGCTACATGTCAACGAGAGAAATCCCGAGAAGTATGTGAGGTGTCTAGTTCACTAAGGAGCTGTTTGAATAGGAGGACAATCTCACTCCGGGAATGCAATACATTCACTATCTACGCATGCACAACAGTGGGGTTCCCTATCCGACGGTCGCAAATATGATAAATCGCGTTCGCAGGATGTTCAAATAAACATCCATCGGAATTGCTGGTAACAGGTGCAAGATAAGTGCCATTGGCAGCCAGAATACCGCCAATAGGGAATCGGATTGGTGGGATACTTCACACATCTTCGAAATTACACAGGATATGCAGGCCACAGTAAAATTCCGGAATTATTACGCTAACAATCGATTTCAGATCACAGATGTATAAGAATGAAATCCGAAGAGGAAGACCGCCAGACCACAAGTCAAGCGAATACTTCAATCTGTTCATATTTAATGCGGCCGACTGCGAATAGCGACCGCCGGACGGCTTTTCTCGCTCTAGTTGGTAGGCCAGTTTGCATCGTTCAGTACTTTGTGCAGAGCAGATTTTTCGTGTTTATTTTTGTAAAATTCACTTTCTTTTGCGATCCCGAACTTGGTTATTGTGTATTAGTTTCGTGTCCGTATATTTTACTCCGGTAGTTTTGTCGTGTACGTATCGTTCGCTTTATCACCTTTACCGTCATATCTGCTAAGCTGGCTTCCTGTGGCACTTGTTGCAAAATAGTTGGGCGTAGAGCCAATGCTGTTACATGCCTCATGTGTGGTGTGAATATCCACATTTCGTGCATTGGTGTCTTCAGATCATTTTAAACCAAATCGTGAAATCCAGCATAACTTTGTCCAAATATTGTGCAAGAAATGCCAAGCGGCTATACAGCCACAAACAGCCGAGAAGCCGCGCGAACCTACAAGACGAGCGAAACGTTCCATAGGGAGGAGCTCCGTGGGTTTATCCAAGCAAGCGGAAAAGCAGCCAACTCTATGTTCGAACGAGCCCACCTATACACCGGTTGCAGGCTCTCCAGCGCGATGTTCACCAGTTGCTTTAGACTCAGCTGGCGTGCCTATGTTGTGTCCTACGGATACTAACATACCGGTTTGCGATAGCGCAAGCATTGAAGGCCAATGGAGAATGCAAGGAAGCAAAGAGGAGACGGCAACTGCCAGCAATCAGCAGCGTTGTAGCCTTATTTCACGCGCCCGAGTCGATAGATGCTAGTCCTCAGGCTCGTTATGACCACGACGTGGATTTTCTGCAGCGCATGATTGATAGGCTTCTCGACCTGAATAAAGACCCGTCTTAGAAAGAGAGGAGTGGAAATCCCAGCCTCTGCGAGTGACCTTTGTTGATGCAACGAGTCCGAGGCTGATACTGTCCCGCCTCGGTAGGCTAAGAGATTTAAAAATCCATATTCGTCCCGATTTGGATCCGTCGGACACAGAGAAACTGAAGTCCGCTATCGTGGAGTTGAAGCGGCGGTGGAGAAGCCAATAGCCACATCGTAAATTTTCGGGTAGTTCCCCGGGTCCGCCGAACCCGGATCAACAAATCGATGACGCTTCATGCGCACCTGCCGGTTCCTACTGCGGCCTGCGCATAGTCTTCACGTTGGTAGTTTAATGAACAAACGTGACGATGTACTTCACTTCGTTGCCTCATGTCGTCCGACCTTACTAGGACTAGCCGAAACCTGGTTAAATACTGAGGTCACTACCCAGAAAGTCCATATCAGTGGCTACTCGTGCTTCCGGTGCGATAGACTATCAAACGATCGAGGCGGCGTGGTTATACCTTCGGTCCTTGCTGCGCGGGGGACTGGTACACACCTACCGTAGCGAAGACGGCTTGTGCGAACAGTTATGGTACTCGATCCACCTGAGACAAGGTGAACTGTTTGTGGGTGTTGCCTATCGCAGCCCGGGAAATAGATTCATGGATTGGTTGCCGCATGCCAGAAACTACATGAGTCGCACCCGCTTCCAGCTTATGGGTGAAGTTAACTTCCATCAAATACGGTGACCTGAGGTTCAACTTCTCCCCAAACACTGTGAAGTCGAGGCGCAGTTTGCGGAGATGGTATTTGAAACTGGGGTAGCACAACATGTCTACCAACCGACGCGCGTTACACCGCATTCCGCTCTATCGTGCCCGGTCCTACCACTAAGGAGTTGCGAGTGAGGTGTAAATGAAATTCAGGTTCTGGAGCCTCCTGCAGCTAGTGACCATTCGATGGTGTTAGCCAGCCTAGAGCTGCCGCTGCCCTACTCGCGTCTGCCGGACCCATGCTACAATTATTGAAAGACCGATTTCAAAGGTCTAAATCGAGAACCAGTGAAGTAGACTGGTCCCTGCCGCAGGATTTATCAGTTGAAGCCTGTTGGTCTGTTATAAAAGTGGGTTTGCAATCGTTTCGTACCCCTCAAGTATCGGAAAGCTGGACCAGTGTTGTGTCGCCACTGACGCCTTCGCCCCACGACCGCAAGTCCAAAGACGAGCCAGAAAGAGACTTGTAGACATGAAATCACATGTGCTTATATAGTTTTGGAGGCAAAATGAAGGGAAGCTACTAAATTACACTTGAGCCAACCAGCAGAAGGAGAAACGTCAAATGCAACGGCGAATAAGCAACTGTGTACTCAATAGCGAATCGCATATGTCCCTAAAAATAGCATCATGGGACTCCAAGCGTAAAGCGAACATCCATTTAGAGTGACGGGCACTGGCCAAGCAGAATAACGAAATGTAGCGTTTAAACAAATGTCACGAAACAAACGAGAATAAGAAATGCAGACCCAAAAACTAAAAACTAGTACAACAATCGTGTGACAACTAAATGTTCCCTTAACATAACCAAGTAGAACAGTGATGCGGAGAAAAACCAATAGAATGTATTCTTGCAAATGGCACTGCTAAAAAGGACGCGGCGACGAGCATCCATTAGCAATGACGTATGTGTAGTAATCGGGCTAACACAGTGAAGCGGTTAAACAATCAAGAAATATAAAATAGGTTGTTTAACTCGTTCACAAAAAATGAATGTCTAATAGCTATTCTCCCAATAACCAGTGAAGCCACGTTGGTTCGACAGAGAGTATAGTCAACTGGCCCGACGGCGACGCGAACTGTGGAATAAATTCCTCGTCTCTGGCTCTGCCGACGATTATGAGGCGTAGAAAAGGCAGCGGAAGCTATGGAACAGCATAAAAGCATCGGCAGTTCGAATAGGAGCTTGAAACCTTAGCGAAAGCGGCCCCCACGTAGCTGTGTTAGAGGGCACTAACGACAGCCTCTGATCTCCAGCACTGAACGTGCGTCCGCATAATGCGCCTATGCCGAGCTCGACGTGTGCAGTCCCTAGTGAACTCGAAGGCCTTGATTGCGGTGTAGATGTCTGCAGTCTACTCACCAGTCTTGATGACACAAAACCTGCCGGACCCGATGGACTTCACCCGCTAATTCCGAAGTCCTTATCAGAACTCAGCTCGCCTGCCGTGACGGATCTGTTCAACAGATCGCTGTCCGAGGATGCAGTACCGAGCGACTAAAAATGCTCGGTAGTGAAACCGGTATAAAAAATGGTAAGGCACGCAAGGTGGACAATTACCGGCCGATTTGTCTCACCACTTTTTAGGCAAAGGTGCTCGAGAAGATTGTGAAAAAGGGTCTATTCCAGCTGCTGGAGTTGAAAAATATCCTAAGGCCGGCACAGCACGGCTTCATGAAGGGCCGCTCGTGCATCACCAACCTGCTGTTGACGCGGCAGGAATGGTTGCAAGCGTGGATGTTATCTACATTGATTTCAGTAAAGCTTTCGATGAAGTGAACCATGAGATCCTGCTCCACAAGCTGAGGATGTGTGGTGTTGGCGGCGCACTGCACCAGTGGATCAGTGACTTCCTTATTGGGAGAAAATGGTGGGTTCAGGTGGATGACCACCTAACGGAATGGTACCCGTCCACTAGCGGCGTACCCCAAGGCATAGTACTGGGGCCCATTTTATTCCTGATCCACATCAACGAAGTACCTCAGCTTCTTCGGTCGCCCTGCGTATTATTCGCGGATGACCTGAAGATTTGGAGGATTATTGTTTCTCCCGGTGATTGTGACGTCCTTCAGCATGACCTCGACCGCCTATCCTGGTGGTCTGCAGAAGTTGACCTACCGGTCAACACGTCCAAGTCCACGTTTATGAGCCTGAGGAGGGGTAGTAATGGACGTGCGTACACTCTGGCCGGCAAACCGCTGCATCCCACCAGTTCCTTAAAGGACCTAGGCGTACTCTCACATTGTGATCCGAAGTCTATCGACAACACAAACAGACTATACACAGGCAGACTACGACTGCTTTGGGCACTTAGAAGCTGCTCCTGCACTTGGACTGAAGAGATTGCCACCCGTCTGACCGCTGCTTGAGTACGGCTCACTCGCCTATTGTCCGATCATAAAAAGTGAGGTGCAGACTGGAACAAGTCCAGCATATAGCTACTCGGATCATCCACAGTTTACGGGGTATGTCGTACGAGGAACGATGTAGGAGACTAGGGCTTTATACCGTCATATCGTCGGCTTCGAGTTGATCTCATTATGACGTACCGGATACTGCACCTGGGCCACCTCCCTATGTTGAAGCCGCTGCTGCACGTTCGCGCAGCAAGCAGCACACGCGGACACCGGTACAAACTCGTGGTACCGGATTTAAAGCAAATGGTTCACCCTCTATGCTTCGAGTGGTGAAATATTGGAACAAATTGCCGAAGACGCTAGTCGAAGCGAAGTCGGTGTCGGAATTTAAGGTGTTCCTTGAAGCCCACTTTGCGGACTACAGGTATAGAGAGCGTATCGCATCCGGGTAAGATGTAGTGCAGCTGCAATGTGCTGCCACCGCGCAGGAATCAGTGACGTGATTGCGCGCATGTGCCCGATCCACCTACAACGGAGCAACACAGATTTTTATCTCCTCGCTTTCTATTCACAGTATTTAGTATTCACTCGAATCGTGGGGAGAGCGCATGAAGTTATGTATCAGGCTCTCCAAGAGCCACCCCGTAGGTGGGGGCACTCCGAGTGCTGAACTCAGCGACCACTTGTCGAAAATTAAGTGAGTGCCCGAAGAGCGAGTAGAGAGGTGGACTAAAATCGTGTTAACATAGAAAGGCTCAGATAGAGTAGGTATACACACGCTCAATGTCATGAAAGGTTAACTGAGCATAGGCGCTGTTGTTGATTGTTGAACGGAGATCTAGGGATTAATTTTATGATACAATGTACTGGAGGCAGCTATGGTATTGGTGTCAAGAGGAAACCAAATGAATCCCGTCAATGGTCGTCGTGAAGGAGCACCTAAAGCAGACGAAAGTATTCGGGACTAATGAAACCATCCAGCTGGATTGTGAGAAGCCGTAAAGTAGCAATGCCAAACGTGTGTTATGAGGAATTCTGAGAAAGTCACTCGATCAACAGTCGAAAAAAGTCACCACTAGGTTGCACAAACGGAGACTGTAGTTTTCGAACATGAATTGTTTTGGAAAACGAAAGAACTTCATAAAAGGTTTTAAGCTTGATACAGAGGTATGCAAGAAAATACAGCAGTATCCCTTATCACATTTCGTAAATAAGAAAAGAGTTTGTTAATCTCTGAACATGTGCGTGGTTAAAAATAGTAAATTAATAAAGGTAGCTTGTAGTTCGACTCGATTGACTAGTTGCCGTTGGACAACCTTGAGGAGCCAAGAGAAAGAAACGCGTGAATCAGCCAGTAGTAGAGGTGGTCGCGCTGATGAACAAACGAGACTAGGTAGAACTAAGGAGCCATCTTTAACATGATTGAACATCACAGTGTTTGGGTGAAGAATCTGGTTGGGTTGGAACAGCGCACGTGTTGGCGGTTGAACTCGATTTCGTGCTGGACCTGCAAGAAAATGAGGTCATATAAGATCACCGTTATGGCGCAATTAATGCGAAACTGTAACCATTTGCACCGATAAATGGGATGCACATTACTCGGTACAGCGCAGATGAGGCAAAGGCGAACGTATTGCGATCTCATGCAACCTGTACCTTTGGGTGCACAGCGCTGGGAGACAGCGTTCGAGAGCGTGCAGCTGAAGTAGAAAGAAGCCAGATGAGTACGATTGGAGTGATACCTGACGATTACCTCAATGGTAATTGCGACGAAATTAGGCACTGGAATACAATCGCTGGTAAAACCTCTAAAAAGGCTGCACTATTACCCACTGTGTCAAGGAGAGCAAGGCGACGAGACTGAGCCTTAAAGTTGAGTGACGGTATTTGTGCTACCCTATTTCTTTCAGCTATACTGGGTGGTGCATTTAAGCATCTTAAGACCCACTCTTACCAGACCGAGCAACAGCTAAAAGCGAGACAAACACAATTTTATGATCCACTAGACATGGTGCTGGAAGTCTCGTGCATATGAAAATGGTTGTCAAACATCGTTGCGGCGTTCCCACTCCAATGAGGTCAGCGTTTGAAGTCTGAGATCTTGGAGTAGAACTACACTCGTTCGCCAATTCTCATTGAGTTCAAAAAGAAGCGTACTCAGTCTCATCGATTGGTGACTGACGCTGTCTCGGCACAGTGTTGGGTAGATCAACCAAAACATCATAATTTGTCCGCTTGCTCTGAGGTCATCGAATCCCAGTGAGTAGGAACATATGCTGTCAAGTAGTGTGCCAAAGCCACAGCATGGTCCCAAACCGTCGACACCGTACCACACAATGGATATCTGAAGCGCACGTACCATTTCGCAGCTGAATAAGTGCGGTTTGTGTTTCATGCGGACCCCAAGTGTCTGCAAAGCTCCCTCACACTTTGGTGTTTCAGTTCGATCAAGACGTGCCAGTCAGCAGACCGCCGAAGTGTCTACGCAACATCTGCATGCTATCACCAGATTGTGTGTGGGCAACGCCTGAAGCGGTTGTCACCTGGGTCCACATCGGCTGCATGGTGGGTCCATGCACTGCCTTTAAGGGAACGTTGAATTTATTATTAGGTTGCGTTCGACGTAGCAATAATCTGCACCGCCTTCTCTGCCCACCATAAATTATTGATGCGGCGGAGCGCCAGAGTTGATCGCCGATACATCTTGTGAAGCGTATAACTCTGCATTGTCGGAATCCTTCCCGCGCGCAGTAAATGTCACATTTTTTTCTGATACAAACGCGCCGATGATTGTACCATTGTCATCAAATCAACTAGGCCGCTTACAGTTTGCGCGCCTGACCTCCTCATCAGTAGCTATGGTAGTGCTATAGAACTCTCTCTCTCTCTATATATATATATATATATATATATATATATATATATATATATATATATATATATATATATATATATACATATATATATATATCCTTTATTTCAGGTGGTGGGTTTTGGAATTTTGTCCTAATGCTTTTCTTTCTCAAATAAATGTCCACCTGTACGCTCTTCTATAAACCTGCACAACTCGCTTAAGCCAATAGTAGTTAATTTCGATAACATTTTCGCGTTTGTGTCATATCCGTAAAATATACTTTCTGACCCCCTGAATTTATATCAGATCCTTTGTTAACAACTTATTTCATATGCTCATTAATTTAAGATTTTTGGCACGTTTGCTTATGCGTTACTCGATTTATTTTCTTTGTTAGCTTGCTCTCAAGTGACTGGCTGTTGCTTGATATCCCCGGTGTGGCTGCGCTTAATGTGCATCTTGACAAGGTGCCTACCTGTCTATTACCCACTATCTCGCCCATACTGGCTCTAGGAGACAGCTGGTCGTTGCTGGAGGGGACGGGGTGCACGGTTCTTGTGGCCGTGTTAGGATCAAAGAGTGGTTCCATGCAATCAGTGTAGAGCGGACTACGGTCCAGTCACCGCCTTGTGTGCGCTTGATTCCCAAATCAGGGTGCTTGTGTTTGCCGGTGAAGGAGTGTGGGCCGTTCCGTTGATGAAACGTGGCTCCCATCCACATACATTCCGGTTTTATTCCTTCGGATTTACACTGGATATGGGGTGTGTGGTTGGAGCTGTGGGTGGTGCAGCGCAAGCCACCCATGGTCCCTCTGTAGGCGCAGGCGTCCTGTGGCTGGGAACAGTGACAGGCAAATCCGAAACCGGATGCCGCCAGCCATATATATATATATATATATATATATATATATATATATATATATATATATATATATATATATATATATATATATATATACATATATATATATATATATATATATATATAACCGCGATCGATGAAGATATACAAATCAATGGTGCTGGCGGCTCTACGACAGCAAGACAAGGACGCGCAACAATAGCAGCATTAGCTTTCTGGAAGGATTTCACCAGTAATGCCTGCGTCAGGTAATAATACTGTAAATAATAATGTGTCAGCTGTACGCCGTAACTGCGCTTCGCTGCCGCGCGACTACCACCAGTCGTGCGCGGACTGAGTACAGCGGGCTGAAGCTGCCCTGATTGATTGGATCCCAGTAAACAGTAGGATGTGCGCCGTTAGATTAGCTGGTTCGTTCCGTGCTACAAATCGCGCGAGGACAAACGGTGCCTGTTTGTCATTGCGGCCTATGCCCCTACAAACTGTAGCACTGATTCGGTAAAGATGATTTCTATCAGCAACTTCACGAGCTCCTTCGTTACAGAAGAAGCACGGATACTGTGGTGTTGGCTGGCGATCTAAACGCCCAAGTCGGAAAACTGTCCTTTGAGGAGCTTCATCTGGGCGGCCAACATGGTGTAGGCTCCCGTAATGATAATGGTGAGCGATTGCTACAGCTGTGTGAAGATGCTCGCCTCTTTCTCGCGAGCACTAACTTGCGACACAGCACCCGCAGAAGCGTGACTTGGCGACCACCAGCCTCGGGCCAGCCATGGACGCAAATCGATCATATCGCGATCAGTTACCGCTGGAGAGGCTGGGTCCAAAACTGTCGCTCGATTTGGAGCACGAGCGTGGACTCTGACCACGTACTTGTCTGTGCCGACCTCCTGGTGCGTTTCGGTGGACGTCCGCAACGTCGATGTGAACGGATTGAGACCAGCCAGCTTGCGAAGCCAGATGTTCTGGATGTGTACCAAAGTGCGCTGACATCTGGGCTGAGTAAGCGCCCACTAAACACTGTTGAAGATCACTGGTCGCATATTTGTCAAGCGTTGCTGTTAGCAGGCATGTCTTCATGTGGCAAAGCAAATTGCCAAACCGGACATTGGGTCTCTACACAGTCTCTGGAAGTTATGGATGCTCGCCGACGTATTCCGGCTGGAAACGAATACAATGAGGTTCGCAAAAATCTCAGGGCAAAACTACGTGCTAGCCTGAAGAAGGACTGCGAAACCTGGTGGTCTCATCGTGCCTCTGAAATGGAAACCGCCGCTGCGGTTGGTACTCATCGTAAGTTATTCCGTCTAATACGGGAAACAGGCAGCTGGAAACCTGGTGTTAGCGAGACCATACGCGACAAGAGTGGGTAGCTGATCCACAGCCCATCAAAACACTTGAAGCGTTGGGCTGAACACTTTGCAAGGCAATTTAACCAACCTGAGTTATCGCTTTCTTTTTCAGGCATTGAGCGCCTTTCTCCCTGAGCCGTCTCTTTGAGTCCACCCTCACGCGCAGAAGTCGAACGTGAGATCAGGCTGTTGAAATTGCATAACGCCGCAGGGGCAGATAGAATTCCCCCAGCCCTCTTCAAATTCGGCGGATCTGCTCCAGCAGATGATTTACACGAGTTGCTAGTAAAACCTTGGGAGCAGGAGACAGTCCCGACAGACTGGAACCGCTCCGTCATTGTCCCAATTTTCAAGGGAGGCTCTCGTTTGGAATGCGGCAATCATAGAGGGACCAGTCTGATCTCGATTGCCTCTAAATTGCTTGCCTCTGTCATTCTCCACAGACTGACTGGCACTCGTGAAAGCCAGATTCGTGAAGAGCAAGCCGGATTTCGTCGAGGTCGGGGCTGCATCGACCACACCTTCATCTTGCGTCAAGTGTTGGAGCACCGCCATGTTTATTGGCGACCCACCGTTGTCGTGTTTCTTGACATAAAAGGTGCCTTCGACTCAGTCGATCGATGTGTCCTTTAGGACTGTCTGCTGAGGAAAGGTGTGCCTGATAAACATGTAAACATTATCAAAGCGCTGTACGCGCATAGCTCGGGCAGGGTGAGGGTTTATGACAAACTGTCGCCACCCTTCAGTATCACCAGCGGTGTGAGACAAGGATGCCCGCTGTCACCTTTCCTCTTCAACTTCGCTATTGATGAAGTCATAGAAATAGCGTTCGCTGGACACGACCTAGGAGGTGTGGAGCTACTTCCTGGTGAGCGACTTCTTGACTTGGAGTATGCGGACGATATTGCCCTAATCTGTGACGGCTCCCAAACATGCCAAACAGCACTGGACCGATTAGCACTGGCTGCCAATCGTTTTGGGCTATGCTTTGCTCCATCAAAATGCAAAGTACTTCTCCAAGATTGGCGCTAACGCTTGGTGGTGATCTGCTAGAAGTCGTTCAGGAATTCAAGTACCCGTGGGATTGAAGATGAGTTTACGAACCGTATAGCAAAAGCTCGAGGTGCTTTTGCCAATCTCCGCCACCTGTGGCGCAGACGCGACATTACTCTCGCCCTGAAGGTCAGAGTTTACAACGCAGCCGTCCGTTCAACTCTCCTATATGGCTGTGAAATCTGGCCCATCAGGTCGACAGACATAAAGAGGCTCGTCATATTCGATCATCGCTGCCTTCGCAGCTTAGCTCATGTCTGGTGGGAGCACCGCGTGAGCAGTGAGCGTGTTCGACGTCGAGTATTTGGTGCAGGAAGAGCGAGTGAACCGCTCAGCACGATTATATCACGCACCAGGCTCCGATGGCTGGGCCACGTGTTGCGCATGCCAGCACACCGACGCCCGCGACGTGCATTGTTTGCGCGTTGTGGGTGCGGTTGGAAGAGGAGGAGGGGAGAACAAGTGATGACTTGGTCGAGAGAAATGAAAACCCTCACTTCGAAGTTGGCGTCGGTTGGTGCATCCCGACTGCCTGGTTGGGGTCCTATGGACGCTGAACACGTTTGGTTGGACACACTCGCTGATATGGTTTGGAGCCGGCCCCAATGGCGTTTGCGTTGTGAGTTCCTTTGTCCATCCCCTCCAATCACGATCACACTTGTTAGGCATAATATGTCTCTCTTTTAAGGCAGCCAGCTGTTAGCTCTCCGGAACGATATCAATCCGTTACTGGGGACTCAGCGGGCGTGCCACCGTTTGTTTTCCTTTTCTTGTCTTTTGTATTGCGGCACAATAGCTGAGGTGTTTTTCACCTCCAACTAACGCGTAATGATGATGGTGATGATGAGTACACCGCGAGGACGCCCACCTCTACGCGGATTCGAACTGGTGACCTTATGGTTGCAAACCAAACGCGCAGACCACTCGGCCACCGACCGGCGTCAGGCACTGCGCATCCAATGGTATGACAGAATTCCCGGAGGTGCTTCGCTGGAGCGGTATGTGCGGAGTGTATTATATACTGTTACTGGGACACCTGAGGTGGATCGGACCTGTCCGCCGTATGAGTGTGACAACAGTACTGAAACACCTGCTATAAGGCCAAATTATTATAACGAAGCGGAACGTGGGCAAGCCAAAACTACGATACAAGGAAATGATCAAAATGAGTGTTTAACAAAACAATGTTGATTTTAGGTGTTGGGAAGCAAGAGCAGTGGGTTGCCGTCAACGATGAGACTACATCAAGAATGCCGTTGCCCAGATGCACTAGGAAGAAAAACGCCGGCCAGGGAAAAGCGACAGGCGCCTATGAAGTCTGGCTCATCGATGTCAAGCACCTAGTGCTGTATTACACGCGGTCGTGTGTGCCTCAACCAAGCCGGTCTGATAAGCCATCCATCGCAATGAGGCTGGACCTTACCGTGGTGCGATAGTTTGCGTGCCTCAGCGATCCACTGAGCTATGCTGGGTGGCGCTTTTTTGCACCTTCAGAGTCACTCATACCAGATTGGTCAATGGTCAGAGGCCAGACAAACTCAGTCTCCTGGCCCTCCAGATTGGGGGTTGGAAGGAGGGTGGCTCCTTATTTCCTAAAACAGAGTGGCGTTTGGGTTGTGAGTTCCATTGTCCATCCCCCTCCGCTTAGCCTCCCCTCCAACCACGATCTCAATTATTAGGTATTATATGACTTCTTGCAGCACAATAGCTGGCTGTTAGCTCTCCGGAACGATGTCCATCCGTTACTGGTGACTCAGCTGGCGTATCACTGTTTCATGCATTTTTTCCTTTCTTTTGTATTGTGGTACCATAGTTGAGGTGTTTTCCACCCGCAGCTAACGTGTATACTGATGATGATAGTAAACCAACAACGTGACCACAAGGAGCCAATATGGAAGAGGCGAGGCAAAGAAGGCATCAGCAATACACCGGCACGCAGTACCGACGCCTCGTTGCCGCGCAACCACCAAGGGTCGCACGTGGGTTAAGGATACTGCGAAGGTTGCCCTGCCCCTACGCAGGCTCGAACCCGCGCCGCAAGATTACGAGACAACTTCGTTACCACTAGGCTACGGGCTGGAAGAGGCGACGACTAAGTTAAGTGGGTAAGGATCAGCATTTTGTAAACGCGCTGCATGCCAGCTGATTTACTAACAGAAGCCAATAGTGCGGTAGATATGGAACATGTGCTACACCATCACCGCACTTGGTCTGTACATGTGCCTGCGTGTTTACCTTTAAGTGTTTGCTTATTGATATCCCCGATCTGGCTGCGCTTGTTGGAATGTTGGCAAGGTGCCTACCTGCCGAAGACGGCCACCACAATGATACTGGCCCCATGAGACAGCTGATCGTTGATAGGGAAAGGGGGTGCACAGTCATGGTGACAGTACTAGGCTCCAAGAGTGGGTCCATTCAGTGTGGAACGGGCTATGGCCAGACTACCACCTTGTGTACGTCTATCATGCATGTTTCCTCGCTTCAAATGTAAAATATGTATGTTGAGGGAGTGTGGGCTGGCTCCGAATCAACCGTGGCTCCAATCTATATGTCTTTCAGTCTAATTCCTTCGAGTTTACATTAGACCTGGGGTGTCGATGGAGCTGTGGGTGGTACAGCGCAAGCTACTCATGGTCCCACTGTGGACACAGGCGTCCTGTAACTGTTCGCAGTCTCAGTGACAGGCAAATCCAGAAACGAATTCTACAGACCATATTTTAAGTACTAATTGTGTAGTGTCCTAACAACAGCGCATGCTAACGAAGCTATTATTGAAAGCACATCATTTTAATATGCGTGCGTTTCAGTATAGATGAACAAGGTTTTGCATAGTGGCTCCAGTAGCTCCACAAGCAATTTGACAACTCAGTGGACGGTTTAGTCAGCTGGCGGCTGGAAGGTGGTCAGGCTTCAAACAAAATACCACATTCTTGGAACGTGCGTTCATAGATTGAGAAAGTAAAACGGCGCTTTTGAAAGTTGTAGATTTAGAGAGAAGTTCAGAAACCGAAGGAAGAATAGTATAAACGTATCCAGATTGTCCTGGTTGAACTCCAGTTAGGAAAACGCTATACACCCGAAACCAATTGGTTAACTGTTTAAAGACAACAGAAGCATTCGAATCGGTGTCAAATTTTTCTGGATGAGTATAAGTTCGAAAGTACATGAGTTGAAAAGTAAAATTATCTAGTGATATGACAGATAAGAGTCAGAGAATCGGATTCAAATACGCGTCAATACACAAGATAACAGAAGTTGAACAGACTACCGTTTGCAAGGCGGTAGGTTCACAAATAACCCATGAGAAAAGACAAGCGTAACACCGCAATGGAACACCCAAGTTCCTTCACGACGCATGCATTCTCCCTTGAGCCAAATCATAAACGGAACAACTTACCTAAAAATAAGGTAGTCAAAGAAGCGGTGGCGACGTTCGTGGGTATCGGTGAGCTAGGACTTCGAAAAGGTCGAAGATCGAGTCGCAGCCGAGTTGCACTTGAGCCAAAACTTCCGCATAGTGTTCACTGTTCCACCAAACCCACCGCCTTCCGGTTCCAGCGAACTAATCGTCCCATCTCCGTCGGCTTCAACAAGTAGGTCAGCGGTGGGTCCAAAAGAGTCCAAACAATTGCATTCATCGTTTGAGCGAGGAATGATCGTACTTGGCCGCGGAGGCAAATTAGATGGTCTCGTTCTATGCAATTCGAACAATGGGTGTCCTTGACTTGCCTCTGGCCCGAGTACTTCATGCTCGAAATGCAGGCAAAGGTCGTCAAAATCTGCCTCGGAAATGCATACAAAACCGAGCACCAGACTCGGATCAAGTTGGCTCAGGGCCATCCGAATAGGATTGTTACAATGGTGGGTCAGATCATCCTCGGGAGTCAACTCGCCCTGACTTGCGGAGTAGGTGGTGTGAGGGTCGAGGCAAAGTAAGTCATCATGTTCCACACTACCAACAATCCACACTGCGTGACTAGGGCGGCCGCCTAGAATACCGACAGACTGGGGTAGTCGCAACACAGCCTAAAGGGTGGAAAACGACACAGCAATTAAAAGTCTTGGAAACAAAACAGCGTTCCACTACCTTCAGCGGTTGAGTCAGTGCATTTTAAAAGAGAAAATAACGCTTTAAGTGAGGCACCAAGAAGAATCAGCATATCATACAGTGGTTGAGCTGAGGAGTAACACGCAAGAAAAGTAGGGTGCTGTAGCTGAAGGAGCGAATTTTACGCTTCTTCGGTGTATTTCGTCTACACTCGAATAACTTGCAATGCGTTGCGCACTAATGCGATTGGCCCCGTGTGATCTGTTCGCTTTGGCTGAACTGGAAGCGGAATTTGACAGGCGTTGACCATAAGATAGCGATTTCACATCGCTAATCCCAACAGGATATTCACACACTAGTTACAATGAGACTAGATCCAGGAATGCTTTCAGTATGGAGCGAGTTACGGACTGGTACGAATACGTCTAGAAAATTGGCGTAAGTGAGTAAAAAGCCTCGTTCTCACATAGATCTAACTGCAACCCAGTGCGCTTGTGCGAACATGACGTACGCCATATTCGCGGTCACCAGATCCAACTTTTAAAAATTACGGTGCAATTCGCTGAGAACTACACAGTATGGGGTGCGCGAGTGCTTAAGCAGACGGCGCATCGTAATCCATAAATGGCTTTCACGTAGGCGTAGACCTTAGGTGGCTGTTCGAAGTTAGAAAAAGTAACCACCGAGTAGGACCCGATGAAGGCAACTATTGATCATTCAGGAATCGCAGATCGTGTAAGCAAGTGAGCAGCCTCCTAGCTCTAGAAATATGGAGTTGCGGAATACCGAGGAGCGTTATGACCCATACAGTAAAGAGCTCAATTTATCTGGATTATTCAAGTGGCTACGCCGTGCGGAGTAACATACAGTTTGCACTCATTTAAACTGATGCTGAGTTTATTTTGTGATCCCAAAGTGGTCCGAGCTATATGAGTTTCCCACAGACTCCTAACTGATGCAACGTTGCATGTCAGAACCCGCGATGCTAGTCGATTAGCGTGTCACAGAAGTGAACAACACACCGGACAAAATATCAAAGCCAAGAAAGATGAATGCCGAAAGAACACTACAATCCACAGTGGAAATGTAGTCGATTGTATGTGAAGCAAGAGTTTTGCTAGTGTTGGATGCTCGTGGGGCAGGCGATAAGAACAAAGTTCTGTTGTACAAAATAAACTCGTTTCAAAATTTGGGGGGATATGCAGAATCATTACAGTTAGGTAAGCCAAACTGTCACCTCGAGTCTCAAAGTAAGTCCGTAGCCCAACGCAATAAGACTGAAGATTGAAGTGGTGCGACAATTTGCACATCGAAGTGGCCCATTACGCCACACTGTGGTGCGCTTCTCGCTCACAACAAACAGATCAATGGTTTGAGGTCAGGTATATCATCTAATCACAACATTCTTCGTATCAGAGGGTAAACAGGGGACCGTAGCCACTACAGACTACAGTACCAGGGCTGTAAATGCAAACCGATTAGGGAGACCAGGGGTTGCACTGCCGATGAGAGAATACCACCGCTTGCCTCAATCCATGTAGTGAATGGGCATAGTGGGTACATTTATCAAAAACCCATATGTGGTAGACAGTGCCCATGGAAATATTTGAAGAGACCTTTCGGCAAATAGATTTGCAAAGCTGGCTGAGATAAGCACAAGTTAATGAAAGATGAAGTGTAAGTGGTTGAGAGTCTGAACTGGCTCTCATTATTCGAACGGAGGGTTGCTAATTCAAGCACACCAATCAGCGTTACGTGCACAGAAACTCTTGAGGCGATCAATCAGGTTGCCTTGGTCTTAACTGGGACATGTTGATCGGTGTTGCCAATTATTCCAAATAGAACTTGTATCTGTTTTCCATGTATTGTGTTCGCGACCGATGAGAACAATTGAAATGTCGACATATCGCAATCTGTGGCTTCTTTCTGTTAACATGAAGTGGCTTAAGGAGAACCAATGTTTTACATTTCTCAAAAAAGGAGACTTCTTATTACCGTTGCAAGGGCATTAGACCGACTGTTGTCGTTACGCTGTAAGCTGGCTGTGGAAGGATATATCCGATCATGCTGTTTCCCGTCTCTATTTGCCAAGACACTATCGAAGAGTAAGTTGCCTAAAAACAACATCAACTTGACTAGAATCGCGTCTACACACACTGACACCTGCCTGGAACGAGAACGAAAGTCCCTCGAAACACAGAGACGGTTCCATGGTACGCTCAATGATATGTCTTTGGTTTTCCGCATGAAATTTCAGGTATTTTCTGTAAAGTGTTCTATCGTAAGCAAACAAAAACATCGCGCAGTCTACAGGGTTCTCTCACAAAGGCTACATGTGCTTCCTGCTCAACGGACTCTTGAAGCATGTATAGAATCTATCATCTGCTTACTTCACTCGCAGGCAATTGGAAGTTATTTTCCTTGGAATGAAATACCGTTTGCCACCAAGGACGATAGACACACAGCAGCCACACTTTGAATATCTGCATGACCAGCTCAGTGATCTATTGCCGAGCTCAAAGGTAGATGTGGGTTGGTTTCGGGCGAAATTCGTGGGAAGCGCGAACCAATTCCTGGATACGCCATTAAGCCACATATGTTGTCTGCAAGCTACACAGCGATCAGAGTTGAAAGAAATGGCACGAGTAATCTTCTTGCAGCCGGATAAAAGATCAGGTATTGTAAAAAAACGAACAAATATGGCCACATCTCAAAAATAGCGTGTATTCTGGGGGTAGACGTAAGTTCCAGTTAGACAAGACGCCGGAGAACAATACTTTGGTGGAGAGGCAGGTGGCAAAAATTTTTAGGTACTCCTACTACATGAGTCGCAGGATAGGCAGCTGAAACAGATTGGGATGCAAACACCAAAGAGGAGAGGCGCACCGAAGTTGCACAAGCCAGGTAACCCACTGCACTCGATCATGTGCATGAACAACTCGCTCGGTGGCTGGTGAAACTCCCAGACCCCATGTGTAAACTCTTGGCAACGCACTCTGAAAGACTCCTTTGAACTAGCGGAGACGATGAAACAATCTTCATTGGGCTCGTGGACTTTATTCACAAAGGTAACTTTTCAGGAAACGGTTGATGATTTGTGCCATTTCATCCTAAGCCAAAAGATGTCTGGAGCCTCCCCTTGGATTATTTGAGGGACATGATTCTGCTGTGCACAGAAAAGGTACGTCTTGAGTTTGAGGGACGGCATACGAACAGATCGACGGAGTCGCCATGGGCAGTCCTCTGGAATGGACTTTGGTAGGTATCATTCCAGGTTTTATCAAAAGACAAGTTGCTGCCAGCATTGGTGAAGCGAAATTGCACAAACGGTATATGGATGACATGCTGGTATTCACCAGAACAATTTACCTGGCTGTTAACCACACTTAATTCAATTCAGCCCAACCCATCGGTATCCCATGAGATAGAATAGCACGGCAACTTGCCATTTTTTGTATTTCAGTAAGAGACGGAACGGAGGTACACTGCAGCGCACCGTTTACCGCAAGACGACCTGGAGTGGGCAGTAGCTTCACCTTTCCAGCTTCGCCCCGGTTACATACAAACGCGGGATAGTTAAAACGCTCTTCTACACAGCCAGACGAATTTGCACCCAGGAAAAGTTAGAATCTGAAGAGTTTCTGCAGTGGACCTCCGTGTCGAATGGATAGACCGAAAAGTGCATCCGATTCCACAGCAGACTACTCCAAAAGGAACTGCCGGTGCTAACTTCATTTGGTTCTGCCGTTCAATGGGGATCAATGTGGCAAATGATATCGGACACAAGCTCAGGTCCGCTCTAACGTGCAGGTACACGAATGCCCAATTGCGCCCAATGCACATTACCCGAAAACTTTCTCTTTATAACCGTCAGAGAAGCTCTTCGACTAGTTCGGCTTCTCACGTGTTTGTTCAGTCTACCTGCAGGTGCGGTGACACTTACCTAGACAGAAGTGGCCGTCGACTAGCTCAGATGGTGGCTGAATACTTGTCAAAGCAGGTGGAACAGACGATGATGCAACAAAACGTGTCATCTGCACAGAAACTTTTGAGGTGATCAATTAGATTGCCCTGGTCTTGATTAGGGTATTTTGATCGGTATTACCGATTGTTCCATATATAATTCCGTGTATCTGTTCTACTTGTATTGTGCTTCCGACTGACGAAAGCGAGCGAAATGCTGACATCGCAAGCTGTCTTCTTTCTGTATTGAAGGGAAGTCAAATCGATCCGATCAGATGGCGGGGGCCTGACAGAGCTCGCTGACTTCATGAAACAAATTGGGTCAGTCGAGAGGTAAGCCACCCACCGTTGCAATCACTCACTTTGTCGTGGCCGTAACGAAAATCCATCCGCATGTGACACTGGCGATGACCGAGGGTGGTTTCACCTATGGACTGACCCAATTTGTTTCATGAAGAGATCAGGGTTTGGCTTTACATTATCACCAATGTTATTGTCATGTTTAAAACTAAGGATTCAATTTCATGTTGTGCGCTTCGGTGCTCATATTGAGTCAAAACGACCAACGAGGTTAGCGTTGAATTCACTAATGAAGAATTGTTGCGAACTATCCCTGAATGTCGAGTATTCGACAGTTGTAGTAAGGACTCTACCAGCTATAAATAGTTTCGCTCCAGGAGCGAGGGCCATCTTTCAAGTGTCTTGTGAGGTCGAGATGGCTCGATGAATGTGCGCAGCCGACTAGAATCGAACTCAGATGAAATGCAAAAAGTTCATTTCAAAGAACAGCTAATAGCCACTTTTGGGGGAATAGGCGATAATCAACGAT